GGGCTGCACTGGGCGCTCGGCTGCACTGCATGCCGGGGCTGCACTGGGCGCTCGGCTGCACTGCATGCCGGGGCTGCATCGGGCGCCGGGTGAGCGCAAGCCAGCGCAATGCAGCCCCGTGGCTGCCCGCCACCCCGCGCACCGTTCGGGCTCCCCGGGCCGAGGGCTCGGCCGTGCAGGAGTTAAGTTTCCTGCTCTTTTATGAGGTTACTGTATAGCCTTGTTCCAGGAGTCGTGACTTTTATGAAACTTAATGACTTCCCGCAAGCCTGCACGGCAGAGGTGCAGCTCCCGAGCTGATGCGTGCCGCTGCAGCCGAGCTGGATGGATCCTATTCCCCTTTTGGCCCGGAGCCCCGGTGGAAGAGGTGGCTCCCAGGGACCGGGCAGGTGCCGATAGGTCCCTGGTGACACCTGGGGCTGCATCTTGTGACGCAGCTGTGGGGCTCGGAGCGGGGTGAAGCTGCAGGGCCACATTGCCGAGGGCAGTGCCAGGGCCACGGGGCTGCAGAGGAGCTGCCGGGRGCTCTGCGTGGCCCTCGTCGGGCAGTGCGCGGCCTGGCTGCTCCGTGCGGCTCTGGCGCCGCTTCCGCCTCCCTGGCGTCTTGCTAAGACTTGCACGGGAGCCGCCGAGCAGGTTGGGCCCGGGTGTTTGATCTCGTTCCCTTGGTGCCTGTAGTGCCGGCCTGCTCAGGTGCCTGGGGCAGAGGAGGGCCCGGCGGCACCTTCCCGGGCGAGCCGGCTGTGATGGAGCGGGAGCTGGGAGCCATCCGTGTGCGCCACCCGCCGAGCTCCACATCCCCGCATTCCCGCGGGAGCTGCCCGGTGCCGTCCGTCCCCACAGGGCTTCTTCCAGGAGCCCCTGACCCCGCTGGCATCAAAGCAGATGCCCCACTGCTCCCTTCCTTGTTGCCCCAACGCTCTACATCGCACTGAAAGATTATCGGAGTATTGCTCTACAAGGACGCAATCTGAATGCTAATTATGAGCACACTGCCTTCCTTCCTTCCCTAGCAATGCCCTGCCTTGCAGCCCCAAATAGCTTTCATCCCTCCGTGCTCCGCTCCATCCGGTCCTCCCACGCTCCTGGGCACACCGTGGAGCTGTGGCAAGCGCCGGGCTGGTAAAAGTTGTCCTGCTAGATACTTTCCTTCCCCTTCCATTTAAGGACAGGAATTCCAGGGGTAGCTGGGGTGTGGACGGGCTCCCTCCCTGCTCCTCGCGTGTCAGGACTTCTCCCTGTGCCGTTGGGGCGCGGGCGCTGCGGGAGGCTGCAGGCGCAGGTGTCGAGCGGGACACCCTGGGCAGAGCCGCGTGGTTCCCAAGGGCCCGCRCCGTTTTGGGGGGCAGTAGCAGGGGCAGCTCCGGTTATTGCCGGTGAGGGCCTGCGGAAGGGCTGTCCCCGCAGCAACAGGGAGGCTGGGGAGCCGGGATGAGCCGAGGGAGCCCCTCTTCCTGGGGATCAGCAGGCTGTCGTGGTCCCATACGCACACAGTGGYGGCGAAGGGAGAGCAGAGCTTCCTTCTTGTGTCCGAAAGCATTTTGTGGAGGGAAAACAGTGGCGCTTTTGTATGAAAAACAGCTCGTGTGAAGCTGTGTGGCACAGTGAAGTGTGGGTGAAATTCAGGGCCTTGCGCGAGCTGTGCRGTTTGGATGCCTGCGGAGCTGACATCTCCCCTCTCCTCTCTCCTTCCAGGTTCGCAAGTGGGAAAGGGCTGGTCATCTACCCGGAGATCGGGGACAAACTGGACATTATCTGCCCCAAGGCGGAGCCGTCCAAGCCTTACGAATACTACAAGCTGTACCTGGTGAAGARGGACCAGGCCGATGCCTGCAGCACCGTCATGGATCCCAACGTGCTGGTGACTTGCAACCGGCCCGAGCAGGAGATCCGCTTCACTATCAAGTTTCAGGAGTTCAGCCCCAACTACATGGGCCTGGAATTCAAAAGACAGCAAGATTACTTCATTACATGTGAGTCGCCCTGCTGTCCCGCGCCGGGCCAGGCTGGAGGAGGGGACACTGCGCGGGGACGTCGCGGGCGCGCGGGCTGCGCCACCGCCTGCACAGTGTCCCTGGCACCTGCAGCGGGTGCGGAAAGCTGACACGGATGGAAAGTATTTCCCTGGTGGCGGAGGGAGCCGGGGAGTGTGGCCAGGCGGCAGGAATGCACTGCTGGCCGAGCGGGTCGCCAGCCCTTATCTCGCCCGTGCGCTGCACCTGCCTGCGCCCTGTCATACAGGCTGTGTGAGCGGGGAGGCCTGGCCTGGAGGTGGCTTGGATTTCTCCGTGGTGGAAGTGTTTTGCATGGAATCACACAAGGGTTGAGGTTGGAAAGCATCTCTGGAGATGACCTAGTGCAGCACCCCTGTCCCACACAAGTAGAGTCACCTAGTGCACTTTGCCCAGGATGCATCCAGGTGAGTTTTGCAAATCTCCAGAGAAGGATTCACAGATCCCTGCAGTGTTGGAGCCTATACTTGTTACAAGCAGCTGAGTTGTGGGGTTACCTGGGGCCTTTCTCCTRTCGCCCACCATGGTGCTGGGCAGGTCCTGGTGCCCCGGTGGGGACTGGGRAGCAGTGACAAGGTAACGTGCAGCCCCGCGGCGCTGCGTGTGGCAGAGCAGCCCGTGCTCGCAGAGCGCACGGATGCGCCGCCCGTCRGCCCCTTCCCCTCTGCTCCGCCGTCCGCATTGCGCCCTTGCTGCCTGTGCGGAGTTAAACCCCAGCCCTGCCTCCTTCGGACGCTCCCAACCAGCCCGGTTTTGTACCCAGCTGGTGCTCGCATTTCTGCCTTGTAAACACGCGGTGGTTCCGACTGCTCTGGGATCTGCTCTCCTTTCCTTTCCTTGCACAGAAGGAAGAGCAGAACTTGCATTTCCAATCCTGCCACCAAAAGGCTGAATCTTGTCCTTTACGTAAAAGTTGTCCCAATATTTGCAGTCAAACCCTCTTTCCATCCCCAGGCTGGGGCCTCTCCCAGAGACCCCCCACAACCCTCTCTGCCCCCCATGTCCTGATGCTCCTCGGGTACCGTGTGCCGAGCTCATGAGAGCGACCACGTGCCCGTCTGTGCCGTGGGGCCCATCCCCGGCAGCTCCYGGCTCCGGTACCCCTATTCCCCGGTACCCGGTGGTGGCGGGGACGGCGCCTGGAGCCTGGGAACGGCCCTGGCGCTGCGGCCGGATCGCGCCCCCGCGGCGACGCTTTGAAGGGAGCGCGGCGGCGCGGCGGGYGCGCGGCGCGGCCAGCTGAACTTTGGCCCCTGGGTGGGCTGAAGATGCTCCTGTGATCTGGCCGTACCCACTGCCGGGAAGCCCCGGGAGCTCTTTCTGCCAAGAAATAAAATAGCCAAAAAAACAAAGTCAAAAGTCTCCTGAGCAGACCACCCACGTGCTGCCTTTTTTGTGTGTTTTTTTCCCTTTTTCCCCCTTTCCTCCTCTCCCCGTGCTCGCCCTTGCCACACAAAAGGTTTTTTCTTCCTCCGCGCTCGCAGGCGGCCCTAAGCCCGGGGGCGGCCGCGTTCAAAGGGCGCGGGCGGCGGGACGTGTGCCGGGCCGGGCAGCTGGGCCCGCGCCGCCGCAGCACCCGGCCCGACCTGCCAAGCCTCGTTTGGGGCCACTTTCATCACCCGGCCCTCGGCTTAGGCTGCCTCAGCCATGAAAAAGGCTTTTGAAGGCGCACGTAGCCTCGCCGCATCCTCGGCGGCTCCTCGCGCCGAGCCCCTCGGTGCCAGCTGAGGCCTTTCAGTAAAAGCATCTTTCCTCCCAGGCGTGCGCGGAGGGATGAGTCCCTTGCTGAGCCTTTCATAAAGAGCGAGATCACGAGGGCCTGGCACGGCCRCAGCTCCCGCTCTGCCGGCCCTCCCTCCCTGCTAGAAAAGGAGGGTGTATCCCGCGGCTGTGGATCTGCATGGGCACGGGCTGCAGGTCTGCATGGGCTGTCGGTCTGCATGGGCACGCGCTGCAGAGGGGCTTTGTGCCATGCACGCATCGCGTGGAGCCACGTGCGCTCTGCATTGGAAGGAGGCTCTTCGTGTGCCCRTCGGCCACAGCAAGGCACGTTTACACCGCCGGAGGAGCAGTAAGATGCGTAGCTCCTCCTGCTCCCTTGCATGGGAGGTCGTAGGGTGCCATTTACCAGGGATGCGCTCCTGTGTTTGTTTATTCAGTTGCTCTTTTAGGGGTTGACCTGCAAGGCCAGCCCTTGGGCAGACTGGAGGCAGTGGATGGAGGCTATTTGCAGGGCTTTTGGGGAGCATGTGTGCGCAGCGGGAACGCTGCCCCGGCCGGCAGGGAGGGCCGGGCACGTGGAGCCGAAGGGAACCCTCCTGCCCGGGCACCGGCCTGGACCTCCTCCTCCTGATTGCTCACCGAGCCGTTGGAGACGCCGGCTGCTTGTGAAGGGTTCACACGGGAGGGTTGAGTGGGTCTGATGGCTTAAAAAGAAATCACCCAGCTGCTTTTGGGGACTCAGAGAGCAAAAAGCTGTAGAAAGAATGACATTGACCCTGAAGAATGTTTTCTGAAGTGCGCTGTCCTTGCGGTCTTGGCACCGGTCCGGCTCCCCACCTGCAGATCATCTGCTCCGTGCTCCGCAAGCCTCGTCATAAAAAAGCCATTTCTGTCCAGCCTTAATTCCCGCTGTTGGCCGTGACTTGCTGAGCCTTCCTGCAGCACCCCGTGGTGCTGGCGGCGCCTCCCGCGCCGCTCGTGGGGCCTGCGCCCTTGGGACGCCCGYGGCCTCRCGCGCCGGCCGGGCAGCTTTAGCGCTCCCAACCTCCCTTCGTAACTCACTCCCGCTCTTAATTGTGTTTGCTGCTGTGCTTTGAACTTGCTCCAGTTTTACTATCTCTGGTAATGAGGTGCCTAGATAGAGATATATGAATCCAGATGTACTGGCACCGGAACGGCAGGAGGAGGAACTCCCAGCGCGGCTCCCCGGGATGCGGTAGCTCTGGACGCTGTCCAGAAATGTCCTCGCCGCTTCTGGTGCCATATTGCTCTGGCAGGGAGGCGGCTTACATGACGTGTTTCCTCAGCCTAGCACTTACTTTATCCTTGGGTATGTTTATCTCATTTGTTTTCTGTCATCGTCACAGTGGCATTTTGATGATGATGACGGTCCGTGTGATTGGGTGCAGAAGAGCAAAGGTCCTGGAGCCAAGCCTTCTTCAACCTTTTCATATTCCCCAGGTAGCTGTTTATAATTCCAGGCGGACAGCGAGGGCAGCGTGCTGTCCAAGAAGGGTTGTGCTGTTTTTCCAGGCAGGATCTCTTGCGTACCCCTTGGTGCAGTCCCTGCCGCGCTGGCGGGGCTTGACCTCAGCCCTATGAATCACCCCTCCCAGGCCAGTATTATTTATGCAGCTAATAAATAGCCCCCTTTCTCTTCAAGTTTGCTTGATGAAAATGCTAAAGTAAAAGTGAGGCCCCACTAGGTATTTGCCTCGTAAATCTAATACGTTTGCTGTTTATTGTTACTCTTCAAGTTCTTCAATCACTTTTGACGTAATAATGTTCATAATCCAACCTAACTTTTTTTTTGGCAGCAGGATTTAGCAAGACCAGCTACATTACGAAAAGAGTGTTTCTTTAAACCCCTTGTCTTGCATTTCTGTTTTTGGATGCAATTAAAGTTATCTGGCAAGAATTACTTGTTGTAACCCATTGCTGCCTCTACGGTGTGGGTTTCATCCATGGGCCTCTTCCTCAGCGTTTTTCTCTAGCTTGAACTTCAGTGTGAAGAAGAGGATTATGTATGTGTGCCAAAGGCAGAATCCTCTCCTCTCCTCTCCTCTCCTCTCCTCTCCTCTCCTCTCCTC